ATCCAATCTAGTAAATTTAGAATTTGAGGTAACCTAATCCAAATCCATCTAATCCAATCTATTTGCCAGATTTATGTCAATTGGAAAAAAAATTTATATGTAAAAGTAATTTATGCTACTTAGGATGTTAGGTACATAATCTCCTTTGATCATGTTTCACCAATTTCTTTATATATATAAAAGAATCTATTTACACATAAATGTTACATATTATATTTACACAAAATCTTTATTATTTATCTCTTCACTTTATTTTTAATAATTAAAATTTATCACAATTTTTTAAATAAAAAATAATTATCTTTAATAAATATAATTAATTCTTAATACATTTAATATTAATTCAATAATTGACACCACAACAATACAATTTTTATAAGATCAAAAGGATTGGGGCTTTTAATCTTATCACCTACAACAAATAACCAAATTACCATTATGGTATATATCTTGAACACACTCCCTAGTTAAGAGTATTGAACCAATCACATAATTGAAAAAAAAATCTCAAATTTTCGTTTTGGCCAATAAATTATCTTACCCAAGCAAGCTTAAGTAAATTTTCTTCATCAATTATTAGCTTAACGTATCATTAGGTAGACTTAAATATTACCTCATATCTACCAAGCCATATAGGTTATGTGGTGGAAAGTCAAGTTGTGCTCCCTACTTTTTTTTTTATATTACATATTTTTATTTTAGGTTGATAGACGGATAATTGGAAGTTTCTTTTACTTTTCTTTTCTTTTTATTATTTCACTTCTACGCCAAAATGCAGGTGGGGATGCTTCTGCTTTGAATTTCACAAAGCAACAAATTCTTAGTACTGCTTGGTGTCGACACCTATAAAGGTGATAGATAGCTTTTATGAACACTCTGATCCTAAAATTTTTAATTTATTCTTTTATAGCTTTGGATTATAACTTTTATTATTGTCATTTAGTACTTAAAATTTTAAAATGTTTTAACTTAAGTCTCAAAACTTAAGTTATTATGCATTCAAATCGTTAAAAAAAAATCGATTATCCTTTTCTCATACCCAAATTTTTTTCCCCTCCCTTTTGATACTTTTGCCAAAATTTTTCAATTTTTATCATGTGTGTAGGTTGTTAGGTATATTATTTGTTGCAAATTTATTTCGGTAACATTATAGGTTCGTGATGAATTTTAGTGACAAATTTTATTATCAAAAGCCTATCTTTTATTGGTGACTATTTTTTTGTAACAAACTATCTTTTTAAAGATGAATTTTTTGTGTCATCATTGAATGTGTAGGTATCTATGACCAAAATTTGAACGACTTTCATTATTACGAACTCATATTTTCTTTGTAACAGTTTTTCAGTGATGACATATATTTTTAGTAATGAATTATTGGTCATCAATAAATATGTGGGTATATGTGACTAATATTTGAAATCTATCTTAATTGCGATGAGTTATAATGATGATTTTTATTATTATAAGCTTGTTTTTTCTTTGTAATCATTTTTCAATGATGAAATATTTTTTTAGTGATGAATATTGTTCATCATCATTGAACATGCATGAATCTATGACCAATTTTTGAAATCTATCATAATTATAATGAGTTATAGTGACAATTTCAAAATTCATCACAAATATTGTCACTAAAATCCCCTTTTCTCGTAGTGAGAGGGAGTTCATTCTAACCTCCCAAATTGTTGTAAAATAAAAGAAAAAAAGTAAAAGGAGAAATATGAAATAGAAAGACAAAGGAGATAGAGGGCCATTAAGAGTTTTATTCTTCTTCTTTCTTCAATGTCATTCCCATACAATAACAAGTTCTACAAATAGGGTAATAGGGTGATAAGATCGTTACAATACAAAAGTTAACTATCACTAAAAAGGAATATTTAGTCACCACTAAATAGGATTAAATTACTACGTAAAAGGTTGAGAAAGTAGGTGTTAATGGAATGTGTAAATGTATAAAATTATGGGCTGTTAATCACCATATAATTGTATGGAAGAAGTGAGAATTAGTAAAATAAAGAGTGAAAGGGGAAATATCCAAAAATGTAAATTTGATTCATGGTGCAAATGTCATTATTGGACATGAATGCATGATAGGCTGCAAGTTGCTAGCAACTTCGCAATGCTGGCTTCTACCATTGGGTTTTTTTTCTAACTTTTATCTTTAAAATATAAATTAAAAATATGATAAATATATATTTTATTATAAAGTTATATTAAAAAAATAAAAATTAATTTTCTACCATTGGGTTTTTTTTCTAACTTTTATCTTTAAAATATAAATTAAAAATATAATAAATATATATTTTATTATAAAGTTATATTAAAAAAATAAAAATTAATTTTAATTTATTAACTATTTATTTAAATTTATCTACTTAATATCAACATCAAAATTAATTTTAATTTTTATATTTTTTTATATATATTTATAATAAAAAAATACCTTTAAAATGTGCTCTTAAAATATATATTAAAAAAAACTCTTTATTATTTACAATCTTTTTGGTTAATTTGTCAAAAGCAAAAGTTAACTTATCTCTTAAAAGAAGAGAAAAGTTATTATATATAAGATATTTTTAGTTTGTGGCCTAAGGTGTATTATTTATATATTTTTTTATTAATTATTATGAAAACAATAAAAATTGATTTTAATTTATAAATTGCTTAATTAAAATCATACCCAATATAATTGGAAAGGTGACCACTCCTTTTAACCATTTCAAAACTTAATTTCCAAATTCCATTTTTAAATTTAAGTGATAATCAACATTAATCAACCATTTTATGATCATCTTTGGAAAAAAAAATGTAAAAAGAAAAAATACTAAAAAGTAAAGGCCAAATTTTTAAAAGCGAAAACTTCTCTTACACTCCAACTCCCAGTAGTAAAGCCTGAAGCCCTCTCCTCTTCCCTCCAACCCTTCTTCGTTTCATCCCCAAATCTTCTCTAAGTTCACTCTAACAACGGCAGCAACAAACGCTAGCCGAGCAACGTCCTCCCCTCCAACCTTTCACTAGCGACGAAGTGGCTCTAGCTTCTAGCGTTGTAGGTAACCCTCTCTTCCTTTCTCCCATTTTTGATGTTGATCAACTATTCATAGTATTTTACACCATCTTGGTTTTTTAATTTGGATCGTCAGGTAAGAAATATCATCATATCTTTGAGATTACTTTTCCACTATAGAATAATTATTTCGCAATTTTGTCATGGTTTCCTGTTGCTTTTACTTAGATTGGATAACCCATTTCAAGAATTTTCTTTCATTGTGTCAATCTCACCATCAACAAATTGTAATATGAAAAAAGTTGTTAATTTTTTGGTTGGTTATTGTCTCTTCTTTTCATAACCTTCTATCATCAGTGGAAAGTAACCAGACTGACTGAGATCCGTGATTCTCAGAAATCTCTGATATAAACTATCCGTGGTTCTCAGAAACAGTGTAATATGGCGTCTGTGTCCATGGTAGCCTCCGAAAACAAACTGAGCTTGAAGCTTCTAGTAGATACGAAAGGCCACAGAGTACTCTTTGCTGAAGCTGACAAAGAGTTTGTTGATTTTCTGTTCAACTTACTGTCTCTGCCTATTGGGTGGGTGATAACAGTTCTGTCTAAACAAGGGATGGATGGTTCCCTTGGAAAGCTTTATGGGAGCGTTGAGGCTTTAAGTGATACATACAAGCAGGCATCTCAGGTGGCCTTTGATGCCCTATTGAAGCCTACCGTATACGCCTCAGCAACTGCTCCTCTTCTGTTGCCAAACATTCAGACAACAAATTCGGCAAGGTTTTATAGGTGCAGCAGGAACTATAATAGTAACTGTTATAATCAGGTGACGAATGACCCCAGTGCGACATGTGCCAGTTGTGGAGGCTCGATGAACATGGAACTGACATATGTTGATGGAAAAAATATGAAGTCTTCCTCTCCTGAGGAAGGTTATGTGAAAGGTGTGGTGACATATATGATCATGGATGATCTAGAGGTGAGACCCATGTCTTCTATTTCAAGTATCACAATGATCAACAGGTTCAATGTCAAAGACATGGGGGTTCTTGAAGAGAAGGTGGTTGATGTGGGCATGGATCAGGTATGGCTCTACAATTTTCAGAATTATTCTTGATACATTTGACAGGTTCTTTGTTGTAATGATGATTTTTTACACTTTTAACAGCGTGTGGAATTGCTGAAGGCGTCTTTGCATTCTAAGGCTGTTCTTACTGAAGTATTCCTCAAGAAAAAACCTTCTCTCGTATCTATCGAAGATGTTGACTAATTCCATCAGAAGGAATCAATATTCGGGACAGAGCCGTTTCTTAAGATACTCTCTGGTGTGTTTTGCTGATATTCTGTTATACTCTTTGGTGTGTTTTGCCGATATTCTCTCTCTGTCGTCCTCCAATCCCTAAAGTACGTTGCAAAATGTGGTAAAATCTGGCTTCTTGTTTTATCTTGCTTCTATGTGAGCTCTTTAAAGTCTTAATTGCTAAGGTAAGACCGAATCATAGTGGGTTGTGTGTCATAGTATTTCTCCTTTCTTCTAAACTAAGTGTTGCTCTCCTTTATCTTTCACTTGATAAGGAATAAATTAGTGTCGAACCTTTGTTCAGTGTTGACACTTTTGTAGTCTAAATGCTGCGTTCCCTTCGCTAATTTTTCTCCACTGTCTCAAAAGAAGATAAAGAAAATGGATGCATTCCTTGGTTGCATGGATTCATTTCGTAGTGCTCCTACAGTCTCATCAAAGTTGAGGGTTTAAGTTGCAAGTGTCTGTTTGGAAGCGGAAGCGGTGAGTCTATCGATAAATAAATATTATTTTATTATAAATCAAATTTAAAATTTAAAATTTAAAATTAATACTTAAAAATTAATTTTTTTAAACATAATAAGTTAATATGAAGATACATACTTAAAATTATCTAATACAAATTAATTTTAAAATGTATAAAAATTAATTAGAGTAGACACCAACAGTATTTATATATATAATAACAAATAAGGAGAAGTTGATGTGGACTTATATCACTTCATTTTTCTTCCAGCTGCTTTTGATTCAATGGGAATCACTTGAGATTTAGTTTTAGCTTGGATTGGATTCAGTTTTCAGAAAAGAATCGGAGTTGGGAATCAGTGGAATTGGAGTCAGAAATTAATTGACGAGGAATTTGTGTTTCTTGTGTGAACGAGTGCTTTTTAACGAGGTTTTTGGAAAATTGTTTACAAAATTATTTAAATTAATTTTCTCAAAACAATTAATAATTGATCATTAATATTTAATAATTATTAATTATTAATATTTATAAATTAAAATATTTAATTTATTTAATTAAAATTAATAATTAATAATTGATAATTATTTTCAATAAAATAAATAAATAAAAACCTTCAGAAGTTTTAATGCTAACCGCTAATTTTTACCAAAAGAATCGGCCGTTGTGAACGTGCCTCAGGAAGAGGCGGATGATATACGTAGCAGCCAGACGCGGACACGAGACACAAGATACCCGCTCTTGTTACCACGAAGGGTACAATAATGTTTGAAGGCAAATTAAAGGGTTAACGCCGACTATTATCCTTCTACTATTAGAAAAAGTGCAATTTAAACCTTATACTATCAATTCACCTCATGTCCTCCCTCTGCCATTCAAAAACATAATAATGTCGTCCCTCTGTCTATTTTAGGGCTAACGGACTGTCTATTGGCTGTTAAATTGCAAATGGAGGGACGTTTGAGAACTTTTCAATTCCTTTTTTTCCTAAATGTGCAGGGTGGCCTCACTCATGCTACATCATCTCCCTTTTTGCTATGTAGAAACCCTTCCCCCTTGTCTCTGCTATTGGGTAATTAGTTGTTATACTCTCTTTTTAAATGAATAATGATAAATGAACCCAAAATTTGAGACTAAGGATATAATATAAATTATACTATTTAAAATATTAAAATGTAATTTTATATTATTTAATGATTAATTTTTTTATT